ATCACAAGGTTACGCCGCTGCAGGCGCTGCAGCATCAGCCGCCGTTCCCTCTGCAAACGACCTAGATGGTGCAAACGACCTGGATGGTGATGATGCGAATCGTAGTACTTAGATTCATTGTATTCTTGCATTATACCTACGCACCGTCATTTATCGAACACTATGCTAACGGCTTACTCCTGTACAAAAGCACATAGGCAGATGCGTCCTCCCCTCCTCCATCAATCGTCCCCAGCTTCTCCTTGGGAAACACCGACACCTTGTCATCATCAAATTTGTACCAATCTTCATCGTCTTCATCAAACGCACGTCCATCACCTGACTTTGCATGGAATACGCTCTTCTTCACGAAACCGATATAATGCCCCGCATCAGCATCTGCTCCCTTGTGCGTAACGATGGCTGTCCAAAATTCCAAAATTCAGATTATCCCCAAGCAAAATCACAACGACACCCACCAACAAGATCATACAACCCAGTCACGCTGCACCCAAAATCATTCTTCAGGTCAGCATCGGCCAATCCCTCCAGCTCCTGCAGTTCCCGCGCACGATATATGCTCTCCTCCTCCAGGTCCCCCGGCACCACCTCACTCGCAGGCGCCATTTCAACATCCGCACTCTCCTCTGTGGGCCTAGATGACGACGACGCCTCCTGCGCCACTTTCGTCCGTTTACGCACCTTCCGCCGCTCGGCACGCTCTTTCTCAATAGACTTTAGGCGGCTGGACACCGGCGTGAGCTTCGATTTCAGTTCATCGGTCACTATTTCCAACGCATCAAACTCTGACGCAAACTTCACTTTGCGCTAGGGGACCGTGAGACGTGAGGCAGAACTAGAAATGATTCATGCTCACCATGATCTTGGCCTTCTTTCCGATGTCGCGTCTCCATGCAAAACGAACCATGTGCACCGTCAGGTAACTCGGTAGACGCGAGAGACGCGATGTCTGGCTGTAAACTGCTTGACGTCCAAGCGAAGGAGAGTTCTTATCCAATTGAGAGTTCAGTGCCTGCATACGCATAAGCAAAGACCAACTCAAGCACAAAAAACATGCATACATCCTTGATACCAGTATGCATATAATTCGTTGTCGCCGAAATATTGCACTCGATTTTCAGCACCTTTTCTATCGTGACAGTGCTAGGCTCTTCAGGCGCTTCGTCGCATTTCAATCTGTCCGAATCAGTCAGCTGAAGCTGAGCAAAAAAGGGAAAATCTAGATCACTCTCTGCGTATCTCTGCCATCATAAACTGATCGACGAATCTCCTCCCCCCCGTTACTGTGTTACCCGTAGCATCAATCCCAGGAACCTCTTTCAAGCCATTCGCAAGCTGTGTCCAACACTCCTCAGCGTCTATACCTTAAGTCAACGACCCAACCAAAAAGACGGCAGAAAACCGCTCGCCTTGCTGCGCGAACCCCCCTAAGATTCCATTCTTGCCCGATCTATCAACCTCCCCGAACTGAGGCACAATCTGACGCAACACGCTCAAAAACGTATTAGGGATATATCCCTCCGTCGTACGAGACATGTCGCCGTACAAGTCTCTCAGCGCACGAGGTAGGACATCCAAATGTGGTGACCTATGAGACATGGGATCACGAGCCACGTATGTTAGAAATAGAAGCATACGTTGAAAGAGCTGTCTGAAGTTCTGGTATTGCACGCATCGCTTGGACGGTGGCGTTCATGTAGCAGGTATTTCCGAGACTGCGAGCATATACTTGTCACTTCACGGTACACTGTAGATTGTTGTAGCACCTACTTTTTCAATCCAACTGGTAAAGAGAGCTGCAAGAATAAAAACCTGAGTAATCCACACGAGCGCAAATAAAAGAAACGTACGGCTTCTGCGATTTCCGACTCGTCCATGTCTGCGCAAAAGCGATCACTACAACCCTTAAATCACATGCATACTGAGATGCTTACCCTCAAGAAAAACAATCGGTTTTTCAGGTGGCTTCGGGAGCTCACCCGCAGCGCCAATAACCATGAACGTCTGTCCCTAACCACATATTTAATACACATTCTACAAAACAAAACAAGAGCGCACTCACCGCTTTAGGAGCCACCTTTTTCCAATCCGTATCATCCTACACGAATAAGCTATCTATCGAAGCATCCGCATAACATGAAAAGTTCGCACCTTGAGCACGCCACCCTTGATCATAACTTTCATACGCTCCGGTGGCACGCCCGTGACCTGATAAATCGCATCTTTGAACGCGGCAGGTGGAAGTGATGTCTCTAGGTCAACATCGAGAGTTTTTCCTGCGTGTTTAACGTGTACTTGTAGTGGAGCCATTGATTTGGATGTGCAGGTCTGCGGCAGCGTAATCGGGTGATCAGAGTGACGCGTTCAAGGGGTAGATGGGAATCGATTATGTAATGATGGGGACGTGTCTGTGACGTCACGCTGAACACGTTCCACAAAGCAGTGCACCCATCCCGTTTTAAAGGCTGCGACGTAGACTTTGACCTTTAAATTCAAAGCTTCGACAACGACCTTGACATTGACGGCAACAACGACGTTAAGCACGATGACAATCTAGTATGTATTGAACAAACCGAGTTCGACAAGCTCTCATGATTCCACAGTTACTCGCTTACATTCTTACTCCTAGCAGCAGAAGTAAGTCTGGCAGCACCTGACTTCAATTCATGATTCATAATGCGTCCAAACTAGATGGCAACATTCTGCCTGCTTGTATCCCCACTCCCTTTCACAGTCCGCAAAAAACTTTTCCATTTTCTCTCTGAAAGCCCCATCGTCGCCAAAGTCGCGTATGGACTTAAGATTTCCTTCATGTTTGCACTCTAATCGCTCACACCTCACTCACTTACTAATATCATGTCACAGTTTCGTAGGCATTCTCTTCCTAGATGCCCTCCAACGCATGTTCCGTGTAACAGCCGAAACCGAAATGGCAAAAACAGGCGGCCAGGGCACACATGACGCACGAACTGATTTCGCCGCTCGCAAGTTTTAGTGCGCACCCCATCCTCTGTCATAACGTATGATTCAATTTGACGCGTTCTATTTTCCTTATCAGCGCTCAACGAAACACTTACCTAACTGGTTTCTGCCTCTTCCTCTCTTTGGTCCTCACCCGCACGTTTTCCATCATCTTGGACCTCATCCACACGCAGGAGGAATACGCCAAATTGAAGAAAGTTGTGAGTACCCTCCATGTGGGGTTGGCTCCTGCTTATATATCATTGATTTTACAGGTTGGTGCTGGCGCCAAGGGTGACCAATCCAAGCAAATCGAAGAACTCAAGAAAAAATTAGCCGCGAGCGAAGCAAAGGACCGTGACTTTGGTGCGTTTATCGCTTTTTATCGACGTTTCGTTCCTAAACTCAACATGCATCCCTCAGCAAACCTCAAAAAGCAGGCCGCACAACAGGCTGCTGAAGTTGATCGGCTTGTGGGTAAGCACAATGAGGCGACTGGGGCTGTTTCGGACAAGAAATTGGACTAGAGGTCCTTTGCGTAATTGTCATGTGTACTGGCTCTCATGTTCTTTTAGTTCTTGTTGACGATCAGTTACCCATCTTTCCCGTGACCTTCCTAAGAATGTGTAGTAAGTAGCAAATTCAGTGACATGTATTGAAGGGTACAGTACCTTCTCTGAGAAATTTATGCCAACCACAATGTTGTCCGACAGACCCAAGCCATGTCTAATTCATTGACTATTGGCATAGAACCCTCACCCAACATGATAAAAATACCAAGGATAAATGAGTCTCTTGCTATAACCAGATGATGAGAGAGTAAGCGAAGTATGGCCACTGTCGAGTACAACGCCCAATGTCGCAGTGTTGTCTCCGTAAACAGAGGAAATATATTTCAAATTTTGTTGCCGTGTTAGGCCAAAGAACCCAGCGCAGAAATCGATAAATCGGGCAGCGGAACGAACCATCTACCGCTGGGCTTCGATGGTTCTTGTACAAAGAAACCAAGGCAGCAACATGCAAGGTGCTCGTGTCGTGCGTTATAACTTATTCCTTCGAGCGTAAAGGGTCTGTCACAGAGTTGCAGAGCCAAGCGTGATCATAGATCTCAACATTTCCCCATCAGATGAATTCAAGATAACAGGTGAAAATGCTCCAAGCATCGCAGCCAAGCTTTCTTGATCCACATGAGAGAGATGTTCCAGTTTTGCATGGAAACGGGTCTGTGAGATGAATTGGATAGACGCCAACATCCGGCAGTGGTAATTGGATCCTCCGAAGCCGAAGTTGCGAAATCTGTCGAAAAAGCTGATCGATATTAACATTGACATGCCACAGTTGGCTGCTCATGAAAGAACAAATATAGTCGTTGCTTCGGATGATGACGAGCGGCAGATATAATTGATGGCCATGGCAGCATACACAGACAGATCGCTGCGACAATTTCTAGGCGACAGGAGCATCTTGTCTTCCTCGACTGCTTCCTCGATATTGCCTCGAATGCGCACCGGGAAAGCTAGTGCGAGCTGGTGCGTGATGGTAGAAATAATAGCGGCAGCTTTTGTGCGTATCGCAGTAATACGTGTGCATCTCTGTGCATCTTTAGTACGACTGGCGCTTTCCAGAATCGAAAGTGCCTCTGTGTCCCAATCACATAAATTATTCCATGCATGTTCAGGGACTGAATAAATTTTTAGAGGCAGGATTAGTATGAGACGGGAGAAGCAAATTTGTGCTCGCCGCTGAAATCTATCGCGCCGGGGGAGTTGAGATTTGAGAGGCCTGATGCTCCACGGGAGGAACGTTGCAACACTGGTACGTATCTGATGCTTCTCGCTGCACATTAAAATAAGAATGCACGAGCGTCGAACGCTGCCCTGAGTGTCAGTATAGTCGATAACCCTTATAATACATTTTCACGTACATAGATGATGACCCCAGCTGGTCCGAGCCTGTAGCATGGCACCTTGCAAGGAGCTTGAATGCAACTTGGAGAATCGAGATCTGTGGTCATTAGTATTTGAAAGTACACATAGAACGTATGAGTACAAGCAGCAGAATCTTCTTGCACGACACGCTCCTTTGGCACCACATCAAGTTGCATTGCCAACGTGAAGAGATGCAAGTGAAAACTAGGGCTGTCTGTATCTCTGAGTACTACCTGTCCGTTGTGACCTCTGAATCAGTCATCGAGATCTATCAACTCGTCACATTCATGTCCATCTCCAGTACTGACATTGTCATCTCCTTCCTCACCACAATCATCATTGTCCAGTTCATGTTCTAGCATGAACGCAGGAACAGTCACCCCAGAACGAATTCTAGGGCCTGGTCGCGGACCAAGATTAATTTCCTTCCGGGACTCACGGACAGCTGCGAGAGCTGCAATCTATGAAACAAGCACCAAGGCTCTGTTAGAGAGAACAAGTAGATATTGTTAACCAACGCACTTTATCTTGCACAGAAGACTGCACTGCCCGCTTTTGCCCTGTTTTCGCTGCAGGATCGAATCCAAGCTTCTTAATGATATCTGCCGAATAGGCCAGCTTCGTCTGAGGTGCATTCGATGTCTCCGCATAATCAGATTCTGAAATACCATCTAAATCTCTCGCGGCTTGCTTCTGCTTTGAGGACTTCTTATCCTTAGCACTATCAGAGGTTCGCTTCGCCCTCATCGCGCCTATCTCCCTGGCCTTGGCAACAGCACGCATGCCTTCCTGGTCCCTCTCGAGTAGGCCTTTTAGCTCGCGATCAGCATCCTGCATCAGCTTTCGCTTCGCGCGCGCCTGGCCTTCGCGCCCCATGTTCTCAGCGACAAACATTGACGAGACATCCCGATTCGATCCGCTCACGACGTGCCCTGAGACAACGTACGTGGTATTGTCTCCACGCGAGCCAGATGCTTCAGAAGGCTTCAGTCCCCACTGGCGTTGCGGATCATAATCTGCTTTGCGTTTCTTTGATGACGAAGTTGTCATTCCAGAGGTCCTGAGGAACGGGGTTGTGAGTCGGAGCAAAGGTATAGAACCATTCACATTACCTACCCTGCAGAGAACTCAGCTCGCCCGGCTCTTTGCCGTTGCACAGCGTTCGTCAAGTGCCAGTCGCATACGTCGCTCACTCGCTTGTCGGTCCAGCTTCCGCATATTTTTCCGTCGCGTTTGAGCACCTTGCACATGCCCAAGTCTTGTGCACGTCCGATGGCAGCAATGGATTCGGCGGACTCGGGTGTGACAGCGAGTATGTTGTCGGTTGGGTGCGGTTTGCCGTTTTTGTTGTTTCGCTGAGCAAGTTATTCACTATCATGGGTAATGCTACTCGTGCAAGCTCACCTGGAAGGGCTTGAGGACCTTTGGATTGAGAAGAGCGATGACGTCCCCTTCTTTAAGCTTTGACATCGATTCGAAAGCGCCTTTGCTGCCACCTTTGTAGAGCTTCTTGACTTTGCCATCGTCGCTCGTGACACGGTCAAAACTATCAGCTTCGAATAGCAAGAGGGTCAGAAATGCGTCTCCTCGAATGGTCACTGCGCCCGATGACGACGGTCGTGAACGCGCCCCGAAGTCAATTAATTTCATATTGACAAATTTTTTGCCATGAGTTCTCGAGGACTTCTGTTTCTGCGGGTCCTGGGTACGAGAATTGTCGCCAGCTTTACGATCGTTAGTGTTACTGGAGCCTCCTTCATCGTCGGTTGCACGTCCATCGTCGCCAGGAGCGATGTCTACGGGGGCACGCGTAGTCTTTATAGGGCCCCGCTCTGCAACTACAGCGATAGTGATCCAGTCACCTTCGACGGGCACATCGTAGCCTGACTGGTTGGGTAACAGTCGTATGCAAGAGTAAAATGTAGACGGTGAGAGGTAATATCGACCTCGGAGATACTCCTGCAAATCATCGTGCGATAATGAACGAGACCTGCATACGATTCTTGAGTCCAATGATCTAATCGATTTCAATTGCGATGACAACACGTACGAAAGTCTGATGCCAGAATTTGGCTCAAGTCGCTCAAAATGGGGATCGTCAAGCGGCGGCTTGTGATCCATGGGGCCGACTTTAAGCTGCTCGATGATAGCCAGTCGGTCATCTCTGTTCGGCACAATGTCCCAAACAGGCTGGGAGGCACTAGGTGGCACTGCAATCATTTTGGGATTTGAAGCAATGGAAAGCTCAGGTTCGGGCCGAGCCAATAAGCTGTGAGACCTTTGAGCTGAATTTGCTTGTTCTTGCTTTGCTGTGCCGCCTGATAATTTAGAAAGCTTGCTCAGGAGATTCGAGGGAGCAGGTTTCTGATATTGCACTGCAGCAATCGGACCTTTACCCGAAGGCCGAGAATTCACGCTCCGAGCTCCAGATGCTGAGAGGGACCCTGAGGTGGCACTCGTTCTGCCAAGTAATGAATGGTGTGTATGTCCTGCATGATCGACCCTCCTCTTCTTCTCTGCCATCAGCGTTCATTTGATAAAACCCCGAGAGCACGCACGCTTACTTACTAGGAGATGGCGTAGCGGGTGCGAGCAAAGCTTCAGATGACTGTTTCCTCTTGGGAGATCCGATTACATCGTTGGCGGAGTCGGGAAAGGGTGTAAGCTGAGCTTGCAAGCGCTCGATCTCTCTCCGAATTTCTAGTTGTTTCTGTATCTCCTGTTCTGTTCTGTTCGTAGATGATTCCATTGAGTGTCGCCTTGATTGACGCGCGGTGGTTGGTACAGCCGAGTAACACGCTGTAGTAATGAAAGCCGCTGTATTTGAGATGTTGGCAAGGTTGTGGTTTGTGGACGTGTTATTTGATGATGTTGTACGTAAATATGACAGGTTTGTATTTTTCCACCAAAGTTCCACAGTGGGTCACCGTGACTAGGGTGTAGTCATTTGTGAATGGTGCAGCGCAAAGTATGCCACCAGACATGGCTGTGGCACATTCTAGGAACGATGGAAATCCACAGGTGACTTTGGAAGGGCTTGTGATGATATCTATATTCATTCTTTTGATGACTACATTGCCTGCACTGGCTGGCAAGGCTTTCTATGTAATCATATTCGTGGACCAAGAGATCACTCAAGCTGTGCCACATTAATATTACTACATGTTCTGTGTTGCCAGTATCTCTCTTCTTTCCATATCTTTCCACCTCCCTCCACTCACACCCACTTTCTACTAGTCATGAACAATGTCATCCCCCCTACACTTCATCGTCGACGAGTCACTCTGGAACTCACTGAACGTCTTTGTTCTCAAAAACGTGTTCAAGATGGCATCAACGACCTCCTGAAGTTCAGCCACTCGCAAGATTCAGAATTTCAGCGCTACGGTCGAAAAGTCTTGTCTTTCTAGTTAATTCCATTTTACAGTCAACTAATGATTTCTCTGTGAAGATTATCGCCCTGACTGAGGTGAATATAATTTAAATTGTCGCAAGCCCTTTTAATAATGCTCTCGGTAATTAAGGTCGCACGCAGCACTCTTACACGTATGGGAGTGAAATTGTACCTGTTCATTACTTGTTCACAGACTTTGCTGCCGTTGAAATCAGCGTACTTCAAAATGCTGATTTTAATCAGACACCGTAAATATGCCTTTCCTTTGGAACTGGACGGTGAACATTTACCGCTGATTTGCTGTATTTTCTTCTCACGATCCGTACAGATAGAGTAAACCGGCTCTTGCTTCCGCTATATACTCATCTCGCCATACGTTACGGGGGAGTTGACACTGCCCGTACCCAACTGGGCATCAAGGAATTACTCGTTGCTCCGAACGCACCAGCCGCAGGAAAAATGACCTGCCCGCCTGCTGCTGCTATTTTATCAGTAACAAAACCAAACGTGGCGGAGGCTATGCCACGTATGTGAACCTGCTGCAATACGAACCCTAGATTGACAAACGATTATTAGCACCAGATTCTATCGCGAAAAAAAGAGCGAGAATCAACCGGCTTGGGGAATTTATAAAGCAGCAACCTACGAGGGAGTCACACGCACGAAAACACCTAGTGCCTAAGCAATACCCAGCAGGTGACCCAGGTGACAACTGGGCAAGACCTTTAGTGCCTAAGGAATATCCAGCGGCTAACATTCAATCGGGCGACAACGAGGAACCTTCTCGCTCTCGAAGGGTGTTCACTCGAACAAATGCCCAATATTTTGGCATTTTTTGCACTGGGAAGCGACCAGTTGCTTCTGCCAGGACTGTTTGCATTGACTAATGTATCCTGCGTTGTGCTTCATTAAGACTCTCATCCGCCTTTCTGATACTTGTCATCTCATGGATATGGAATCCAACTACCTGTATTACATTTAACATCGTTGACACATTTTGCTACTGGCTATCCCTCAAAGTCTTATATTTGTGATAATGCATACACTGCTGTAGTACCATCATTTTAGTCGATTCGATAAACAATCCACCTCCGTACTTCTGGTCCTTGAAGTCTGGAGGCCTCTGCCTCCCCCTGTCCGCATATCCGCAATATCATCCTTTCGTCGATGATATTAATCACCTTTCCAATTGATCTGTCCAGCTTCTCCAAAGTACGTTCAAAAATAGGGGTCTCTCATAATAAAGCCAGATTCTGGATCCGAACTTGTACCTGGCACGGACCTACTGTAGAGCTACGACACTAGCTTCGTCACGTGCAGCGTGTGATTATGTCACACTCAGTGTCACTGGTTCGAATGTCACCTGACCTTCCCAATAAGTCAGCCTTACTATGCTGAGCTATCACGTGTATAGTTGAGTATTATGTGGCTAAGTTACGACAATCCTCAACACCGGCATTAAATCATGTACTAAATAATCTTATACTTCAGGTATTCTACTACAGTAGTAGGTGGCTCGGCAACGTGCGCCCTACGCGCTTTCGGCAAAGGTGCACCATTTCCTGTAGTGGGGTTCCCACACCCCTTGCCCTTGCTCACCATTGTTGTCAGTGCACTCTCTCGTCCTCCTCACTATCTCTCAAAAATATTGAACTAGTTGATATTTTTAGTAAGTTCGGGTCACATTGTATGGCTCTATTGTTAACATTGTCCAGGTCGGAAGCACGCATCTTTGCAGCCTCGTCCATCTCACCGGTATCCGAACAAAATGCTCATTCATCATGGTTACTTAGGCTGCTCCCCATTATTTCCTACTGTCGCCACCTCCATCTGCACACTCACAGCATATCGGCAGGTTCACTGAACTTGTCCCCGATTCAGCATTCAGGCACAATGCAAGGTGTTGTGTCATCTCCATGATGTAAGCTCTTGAGTCTGTCATAATCGTTTACTCATTTCGAACTCTTTTAGATTCCGTATTGATCGTACTTAAATGCGCAATTTTCGGACACTTACAATATTTATCTCAAAATCCTGCATCACATTGATGTCCTCATCAACCAAGCGCTTAACTGCGACTCGCTCAACTGGCGTCTCCTGAATTCCTGCCCGTGTTGCTTCTACAAGCTAGAAGATGAAGAAAACATGTCTCTGGAGTGGCTGGTGACTATGGACAGCAACAATAGCCTCAAACGATGGATGTCATCAACTGCCCGAAATGACTCATGCACATTTCGCTCTGACTACTGGCTTGATCGCTTGAGAGTTGATAAGTTCAAGGATGAAGTGCGAGGACACACTGTAAGTCTTCTCACTGCCACTCTATATGATGCTGCAACTCAACCTGACTAGCACCCGACTGCGGATACTGAAAACGGGCAAGACATCAAGCAAACCGAAACAGTGCCGTCATCCTCCTTTACTTGTGTCAACCAGTGGCGAAATGCTGGTCCAGAACAACGCAAAAGGATGTTTTCAGTGTTTGATGAGTCAGGGATATTTATTGCTGCATGTCGACACTGGTTCATCCTTCTTGCTTGCGACATGGTTAAGAGTGGCGAACTGTAAGCTATTTTATCTTCCATTCAATTTGTATCTGCTAATCATTGTTAGTGCAGAATATCCATTGGCGGTTGTCGATCAACTGCTAACAGTATATGGCAAAAATGGAGGTTGTGCGTACAATATTGGTTGTGCATTTGCTAAGATGCTAGGGAACAGTACTTTGGGACCACGTGCTTCCACCCTCAATTTGCGGATCATGGTAGGAGCGTTTCACGGCCATGCACATAATTGAAGGTGCCAGATTGATTGGCATCCTATGTATATCGAAGGCACTGGACACACGGAGGGTGAAGGATGCAAACACATTTTTTCTTCATCAAATGAGCTTGCATGAAGCACGCGGCATGCTACAACTTTTCACCAACATCAATCAATCGAGCAACACTTTACATTTTGGGATGAGGATAAGTATACAGCGTTAAGTACGTTTTTATAAATATCTACTCGATGACCAAACATGACACCCTTGTCCAGGTGTTTTTATATGGAATCATTATCGGGAGGCGCTTGCAGATATACAAACCCTCACAGCAGAACTTTCGGTCATCTGGGAAACCCTCAATCTTACTGATGCTGACTTTATTCGGTTTCATGCGCAAGAACGTGAATATCTTGATGGGTTGAAACAAGCACCAGTCAAGGATCTTGTCAGCATCCGATATGTCAATGTACTTGACAAGCTTGCTGAGCGCCAGTGAGTTCCAATGTTTCACACTAGTTAATTTATTTATTAAGTTTGACCGAGGTTGGAATGGAATCAAGCCCGAGAAGCTGCTAATTGCTCACTAGTTGAAATTCATGTCGGCAGCCTGAGTCATATGCACCTTGCTCTCAATCAAGCTCGGGTTCGTGTCGATACAGCATATTCAAAACTTCAGAACACAGAACAGCTAGCTGGATATTTAGAGGTTCAACTTGGCATCGACAAACACTGGGAAATCAGAGGTGAACATTATAATTGCTTTCGAGAAGAAGCTTTGCTTCTCAGATATTGTTCAGTGCTTGATGAACTTGAGCGCCTGTTTGAACTGTCCAAACTTTCGTTATCAGGAACAGGTAAGCGAGTTGTCTTCATTTTGTTTTGGGATTGAATTGTAGCTTGTTTAGGTTATAAGCTACATCAACATATTACCAAAGCCCTTCAATGATGTTCAGATGCTATTCGGAACACTATCAATCATTACAACACTCAGGCTGCCGCTCTGGTCCCACCTAGGCCAAAACTAATGTGGAAGGATATCGTTGAATATAGCTTCCTTGGCGAATTTGACTTATTGCGTCACTCACGTACTGACATTCGAGACGTTGAGTGGACCACACCCGCTCATTGGGAAGCTACAGTCAAATACTTCAAGCTCCAATGTGCTCGTGAAGAAATACAGTGTCTGAATATAGAAATTTGTCGTCTGCGCACGGCAATACATGATGAAGAAACCAAGACCATTGCAACGATAGACCAACTCCTCATCACAAATTCCCTGCTTGCCATGGAGTTGAGAAGGAGGTGGCAGGCACGTGCCACTGTCAATGCTGTCCATCTTTACCGACTAAGTCGAATAGAGTCACAGCCTGCATTTTCAGGCAGATGTGGTATTGGTGTCTGAGTTGCAAACCTGTCAGTGTCGCCAAATGGTCACCCAGAGGCAACAGTTTCATTGCCAAACGCTGGTCCGTGTGGACTTTGTTTGTTCTTCTACTTCACTAATTGATGATTTTCAGGCATTTCTGCAACTGGTATCGATGGAGAGCGTGCTGAGAGACTTGACTTAACTGATATTATCTCTTTTGAATCAAATGGCGATGTTCTCGAGGAGGATCAAGCGCAGATGACGGATGATTTCGCTAGCTATCTGCTCTCAGTCGGAGACTAGTATTTATTTACAGCGCTTATCCTCATGTTGTGAATAATCATATGTTTTATCAAATTAATCTACAAGGTGGTCCAGTGAGAATGAAAATCAGAGTGAACAGGCAGGCAGAGACATAATGAAATTAGGTAGTAGATCTGATGAACTGGGTTGTGGTTGGTCGTCTCAGGAGATCAGAGGTGAGCAGGCAGGCAGACAATGAAATTAGGTGGTAGATCTGATAAATTGGGTTGTGGTTGGCTGGGTCGTAGATAGGTGGTAGATTTGATAAATTGGGTTGTGGTTGGCCGGGTCATAGTAGATAGGTGGTAGATCTGATAAATTGGGTTGTGGTTGGCCGGGTCGTAGATGGGTGGTAGATCTGATAAATTGGGTTGTGGTTGGCCGGGTCGTAGATGGGTGGTAGATCTGATAAATTGGGTTGTGGTTGGCCGGGTCGTAGATGGGTGGTAGATCTGATAAATTGGGTTGTGGTTGGCCGGGTCGTAGATGGGTGGTAGATCTGATAAATTGGGTTGTGGTTGGCCGGGTCGTAGATGGGTGGTAGATCTGATAAATTGGGTTGTGGTTGGCCGGGTCGTAGATGGGTGGTAGATCTGATAAATTGGGTTGTGGTTGGCCGGGTCGTAGATGGGTGGTAGATCTGATAAATTGGGTTGTGGTTGGCCGGGTCGTAGATGGGTGGTAGATCTGATAAATTGGGTTGTGGTTGGCCGGGTCGTAGATGGGTGGTAGATCTGATAAATTGGGTTGTGGTTGGCTGGGTCGTAGATAGGTGGTAGATCTGATAAATTGGGTTGTGGTTGGCTGGGTCATAGTAAATAGGTGGTAGATCTGATAAATTGGGTTGTGGTTGGTTGGTTGTGCCACTGGGTGTCTGTCGATCTCAATTAGTACTTGAGTACTGAGTTTGTAACAGTAGATCATTTGGAAGTGCACGTGTGTAGATTTTCCAATTGATTTCACTGGTTGGACTGCCAACAGTAAGGACTACTAGTACAGCAATTACACTGGATGCGAATGATCTTTATTACTGTCTATCCTTGCACAGCTGTTCAAAATGTGGTGGGCTTGTATTATCTGGTAAGCGCCATGCTACTTAATCGGACACGTTCACTAATCGCTTTCAGTACTCCTTGGTACAATCCAACATCTACTATGGACTCGAACATAGTATTCTCACCTTCGAAAGTCAAATCAGTACCTTTGCAACTCCGTGGTACGCTGCAGTCTATATCTCAGATGCCACCTGCCATCATAAATGATGTGCCCAGCACAAACCAACCTCGGTTTTCGCTGGCCAGCATTGCTGCCTTACACTCAAACATGTTTGCTCAGGAATTTACCAAGACAGAACACCAGGCGGCTGCATGCGCACTGCTCAGACATGATGCCCACCTTGACAGCACTCATTTTCACACCAGGAAACCTGCTGGCCTTCATCCTTCATACGTTGCTTTCAACTCATACATGATTTTGGATGAGAAGTCTATGACACACGAGGAATTTGTTGAGGCAGCATTGCAGGACCTCTTTGATGCAGTGAGTACAACTAGTCCTATCTACCTGGAGGATGCTAATGGCATGGGGAACAATAGGTCACAATGCAAGACCGTCTTGATGGCGGGATCTCTCTTGTCATTCGTTGTCCTGGCTCTCAAGCTACACCAACTCTTTCACCAGAGCATCTCTCCCTCGATCTCTATATCACACCATGTGAATTATGCGAATCTCCCAACCACATTGGAGGAGATATATCCATCTTGGTGCAGGCTTTTGGGGAAGAGTTTGCAATCCCACATTTGCAATGCTTCACAGAGCGCTGCCGCATTGAGGGCGTTGTCCCTCCTCACCACTGCAAGTCAGCACCTTCCTTTTCTCTCATGACGATCTGAAATTGATTTGCATTTTTGTTCCTACAAGACCCAGAGAGTCAGGTCAATTCATCTGCAGTCCCACACTTGCCAGCACCTATGGCTGCTACAGGTTCCCGCATTCATTGTTCAGCGCATCTTCCTCAGCTGTTTCAGCATGATCTTCAAGCCAATGCCCAGTCCAACACAGTGTCCTCTTCTGCTGTTTGGGAGGGTACAGCTAAGATAGGCGTCACTCTTTTCCAACACATCTTACATAATCATAACCCTAACCCTAAATGCGGCCAAACCTTCGACTTGAAAATTTTCAAAAGTTGAGACTGCTGCAAGAAGGATTAGTGACGAGTGATGAGTGATTAGTACATGCTACATGCAGTAACACTATATTCTAGTGCATTAAGCCTTTCTAAGTGTCTCCTTAACCTCGAGAATCATGGAGGGAGGTAGAGTGAGATGTCCATGGTACTGATGGTTAGCCCAAGCTGCCTCGCCACCAGTAAGACCTTACGCATACGCAGAAATGAAGTGTGCGGAACCCTATATCATCCTCAGAATCACTGCAGCTCGAGTCCGACTCCTCCTCAGAGTCAGAGACATCTTCAATTGTGGTTTTGTGGGACCTGGAAAGTGCAGACTGAATATTCCTGAGACGAGCCTTATTAGCTTTAGATGTTGCACCCATTGTGAGATGCTTTTTGTGGGTAATATCACTGATTTTTGCTGCCTTCTCCTCCTCGTCCTGCCCAGGCACACATCACGTGATGTATTATATAAGCGGCCAAATGTTGGTGAGTCGAGAACTTCAAAATTATTCCCTGGCATCTCATGGCCTTGTGAACCACTTTCTGACTTAATAGAACAAAAAAAATTGGACAATGAAAATCTCATTCAGTTTTGAATATTTTTTATTTCTGCTTCCTGGCAGTTCAAACTATACTGCTGTTAAATATTTCCTAGGATCCAATAACATCAGAAATAAATATATGTGCCCATAATTTGAGCAATGGCGAGGCTCTCAATTTGCTGATGTAAGCGGTGCTGGATAAGAGTGACGCCTATCTTATGGCGCTTTTGGACTCCAACATGCCACCTAACAAGATCCGATAATGTCGACCTGCTAACACATTTTTCACTAAGGGTTTGACAGTTCCCAGGCCCGAGATACAAGAGATGCAAGCAGCAGCATCCTTTACATCACCACTAATTAGCCTCGGCCCACATACAGATGCCATGCTTGATCGTTTCAAAATGGACGATACAATACTTCTTAGGCTTCATGCACTCGTCGGATCTGTTTGCAGCAGCCATTGGGAAGCGGTGCTTCGATCCCCGAAATGGGATCTAATGTATGAACAGGCTTCAAATTTAGCTAGAGCCCTCCTTGTGGACCTCCAGGGAGTGCATCAACAGGTTTAGTTAGTCCCCTCCATCACATTTTAGTTTGCTGATTATGTGGTCATTCACAGCCGCCTCTCTCGTTACTTACACACATTTTCAGGATGGTTGGCAGCCTAAGTTTCTTGTGCGCAATTTATCTATTTTATTTGTTCTTCTCATAGATCACCTGCTGTTTTTTTGCTTCCATTTGTCATTTTGGTATCGTAAATTGTGTCCGCTGTTGACTTATAAAATCTGTTCATTGACAGCGTGAATTTTGTGGCACCGATGGTTTCGCACAGCTTTGTGGCAACAAACAGTTGCAGATGGGTTCAAGCCCAACCCCCTCGCCATCCAAAGGTGACCCTCAGCAAGGAGGCTCGTGCAGCCATAACTGCCCAACGTCGCAATAAATCCCATCAGTTTAGGGTAGCTCTTCACAATGCTTGGGATGAGCTCGACGAGACTATGAAGACCATTGTGTCCTCACACCATAAGAGTTTCCGTCGTGTCCAGAATGACTTATGCATGGGCCGTGGGATGTTATGCTACCAACACTCTAAGTTGAGCGCATGGAACACATTCTGCTGGAAGAAGCACCATGAAGACAAGGGAAATGGTAAGTAACAACATCTTTGTCCTTAGCATGCACAAACTGATAATGCACCAAGGGACCGCAGGCAAGGCTGTATTGCAAGATCTTGTTGGGGATGAGAACCACGCTGAATATCGCAACCTCACAGATGACGAGAAGGCACAGCTTTTGCAGGAGTACTGCGAACACAAGGAGACGAAGACTACCGGCATCCGTATCTCAACAAAATCAAAAGTCAATGATGTAACACAGACACTCAAGGCTGTCGAGAATGAGGTGAGTCATTATATATCTGTTCTGATGCTACTTATTGACACATCTACTAGCTCAAGAACTTATGGACACGTACAGGCGCTGAGAGTATCCTCTACACCACGCATGGCTCTACAGATCTCCCCCTCCGTGGTATTGCTTTTGCAACTGAAGGCGTCAATGAGTTCATGGGCTCTGTGATGAATATCGACAACCAGGACCTTGTGAGTAAAATGGAGGGGTTTGCTGTCCAGGGGATGAAAGGTAGGGATCATTTTTTCAAAGACTTACTCTCCGCTGACTGCATCTATTAGGCGCTGTGAGGAACCACCAAAAATGCACGTCAGATATTCGGAGCGCAATCCACCAGGAAATCAATAAGACACTTTGTAAGTGCTCTGCATTTGAACTGTTTTTTTTATGTTACTGACTATGACAATATTTCTAGAGGCAATCACACAAGATCCGAAAGCACAGATGCACTGGGCACACTACTGGTGAAATATTGTCCAGCGCTACCTTGTTGTCATCGAAGGTTGGCCTGAAAATGTTCCTTTTGTCAACCTTAGCACGGTATCCAGTGCCCTACCTGATTTGGAGATGCTTTTGGACAAATGGGAGACTGGAGAAATCCATTGGAAGCATCTGGACGAAGATGAGTACGAGAAACTTCGTCAAGAACGTTGTGAGAAGGTCAGCAGTGGCGAGGTCATCAAAAAACGCTGCCAGACTTGCTCTGATAAAGAAAAGAAGCGCGAGCAGCCTTCAGACCATTCCAGTCACCGCAGGAAGACATATAAGAGCGCTCAAACTGTCATAAGCGATGATGAGTCAGACATCCCTAACAATACAGCTTCCCATGAGCATACACCTGCTGGCAGCATATCAACAATGCCTGAGCCCACTCCTCCCGCTGTCCCAAGTCTGGTCATCCCCAAACTCGCATCATCCACTCCTCCCACTGTCCCAAGTCTGGTCATCCCTGAGCTCGCATCATCCACTCCTCCCGCTGTCCCAAGTCTGGTCGTCCCTGAGCTCATGTCATCCACTCCTCCCACTGTCCCAAGTCTGGTCATCCCCAAACTCGCGTCATCCACTCCTCCCACTGTCCCAAATCTGGTCATCCCCGAGCTCACATCATCCACTCCTCCCGCTGTCCCAAGTCTGGTCGTCCCCAAGCTCACATCATCCACTCCTCCCACTGTCCCAAGTCTGGTCATCCCCGAGCTCACGTCAACAGCCGGTCTTGGATCATTCTTCAATGGTGATATGTTTGGCATGGACTTCTTGCCTGCAGGTCGCGGCACTGGTACATCTGTTGACATGAGGTCCGAATTTAATTTTGATGGTATCTCAGGTATCTCAGGTATGCTAGACTTCGTGAATTTTGAATAGATGTTAGTTACCTTACTTGTCAAATGTGTGGACTTCATAAACTTCAAATAGACTTTAGTTACCTTGCTTGTCAAATGTTCTCTCTGTTGGCCAATCAAATTGAGGGACAAGGAATTAAATTAAATTCATATCAGGAAAGAGAAAAACATTAATTGTATGTTGACTCATTGTACGAGAAGGGCAACCAATGAGAATGAACAAAGTCTGAGAGATCCTCAGGAGTCTTGCTCGGCAGGCTGGGAGTATTACTCGGCAGGTTGGGAGTCTTGCTCGACAGGAGAATAATGGGTCGAGAGAGCACCATTGGCAACATTGGGGGAAGCAGAGGACAGGCGGAGGTACGAGGGATGCCAGAGAGGCTGAGAAGAAAGAGGCGGAGGTAAGAGATACCCAGATATGTATGAGAGATACCACAGGGGATAAATGGAAGGAGATGGCTGAGGAGATGTGAGAGGCCGAGGAGTGCAGGATGGCGATGGCAGCAGTGCAAGAAGAAGCTGATGATGGCATCCAGAAGGCTGAGATTGGTGGCCCCAGGATGGTGAGGAGGACGAGAGAGGATGGCAGCAGTGCAGGATGGCAGAAGTGCAAGAAGAAGCCAATGATGGCATCCAGAAGGCCGAGATTGGTGGCCCCGGGACAGTGAGGAGGACAAGAGAGGATGGCAGCAGTGCAGGATGGCAGAAGTGCATGAAGAAGCTGATGATGGCATCCAGAAGGCCGAGATTGGTGGCCCCGGGACGGTGAGGAGGACAAGAGAGTGCACTGACAACAATGGTGAGCAAGGGCAAGGGGTGTGGGAACCCCACTACGGGAAATGGTGCACCTTTGCCGAAAGCGCGTAGGGCGCACGTTGCCGAGCCACCTACTACTGTAGTAGAATACCTGAAGTATAAGATTATTTAGTACATGATTTAATGCCGGTGTTGAGGATTGTCATAACTTAGCCAAATAATACTCAACCATACACGTGATAGCTCAGCATAGTAAGGCTGACTTATTGGGAAGGTCAGGTGTCGAATGTCCATGTGACCTGTGACCACACCCAAATAGATTCGCCCACAGATGCTTTGCTGCTTGCAACCATATGACATGCTGCTGCTTCGTGATTGTGACAACTTGCTTCAAGATTCGCCTCGCATAGTGCTAATGATGGTAACAAGTGGAATTGGAGACTCTGTGGCCTTAAAGCCTGCCAGGTGAGTCTATGATCCATTTTCAAGTGCCTGTCATTCTGACATGCTGCTTTGTGATTGCAGCAACTTGCTTCAGGATTTGCCTCGCATAGCACTAAATTGTAATGAGTGGACTTGGAGACTCCGTGGTCTTAAAGCCTGCCAGGTGAGTCTATGATCCATTTTCAAGTGCCTGTCATGCTGTCACAAACTGATACATTCACTGTTTCAGAGTCGTTCTCGCATGGTCATGTTTTTGACCAGAGCAAACTGCCACCCTCTGCACGATGTGAGATCAAACGGTTACTCAGCATCCTGACTTCAATGCAGCCAACCATCTCATCTCAGACTCTGTCTGTCACGCAGCTACTCAACATTGATCTTTGCGTATTACTGGACTGCTCTCTTAGCTCAGACACCATCGTTTTTTCAACAAATCCTCCTCTCCTCAGCCTTCCCAATGATTTCATGACATGGTCAATTCCTCCGCTCCATTGCGTCACTTGGCTCCTCAATCAGTTCAGTCAGGCTTGGTTCAATGGTCATGCTTCAGTCATCCATCCACTTTCCCCAACATTTCATCTTCCGTTGTAGGGATTCATTTCTGGCTGGGCTTGTAGAGACTGTTTTTACCTTACCTTATGTTGGCACTTTTGTAGCTTACATAATGAAGTTATCTTTTCACCAGTTACCAGTATGAGTCTGAGAGATCAGCAAGTTTTTATGATATTTCCTCTACTCTGAGCCTTGAGCCTGGTCCAGAAACCCTTTAGGGTCGAATAGCAGCTAGGTTCTGCAAGACCCAACACATTGTTCAGACTCACCATCTGAATTGTTGTACCTTCACCATTCTGGGTTCTTTCCTACTGGAGAGAGATCTCACGTACCCTCGAGGCCCGTCTCACCTGGATATCGGCCCATGATTGGGTCCTTCAGAGGCTTGAAGATGAAGATGACAATAACTGTGCTTTTGAGTCAGTAGTCATAGACGAGGTTCTCAGCATGTTTGAGCATGTGCCATGGGATGTTGAATTGAAGGGGTTTGATGCTCACACCAGTCTTCGCACATCTGAGCTTCTCCCTCTACTTGCTGACTCGATGGTCAATGGTCGTTTACTTGATGCTCTTGTTGCCGTTATCAATGATCATGTGGATGAACACAATGGTACTGTTGTCGAGACACTCGATTTTGCAAATGTATTGCTCCTAGGTGACATGCGGTGGTCAAAGTATCATTTCGACAGAGCCTTTACTTGACTGTGTTACCTTGGAGACTTGCTCCACGATGGCACCATACAGCATGTCATTTTCCCTATCAATGTCGCCAATGTTCATTGGGCTATCATTAGCATGGATGCTAGTACACAGATGATCTTGTATGGTGACTCGCTTGAATGGTCCATGCCCAGTTCATATGTTGATGCTATGCGCCACTGGTTGAAAAATCACGGCTTTGCACCATTTGGCAAAGGATCCTTGTCTCACGGGGAGCAAACAGACTCCTTTTCGTGTGCAATCACAGCTCTTAATACCATCAAGCACGCTGTCTTCAGGCACTCACTGTTTACCAATGACTCAAAGTATCAACTTTACATGGAGGTGTTTTTGATGCTAGCAAAGAGCCACTTTGAGGTTTGTTTTTACTGTGTTTTTATGACTCAAAATAACTCATTTCTTCATAACAGTCTGAGCAGCTTTCTGAGTCTTCAGATGGCTCTTTTGCAGATGATGCCAGTGATTTTAGTGTCGAATTTTCATCGTGTCCACCATCATATCCCAGCCCAGTACCAGCATCACCAGAATTGCCAGCATCATGCCCCTCCCCTCCACCACCAACATCTACTAGCTCGGAACGTGTTACCTTGAATCTTAGGGTTTGCGAAGAGGATAAATCTGTTGGTTTGTTCAAGTACTTTCCAACTACAACATGTGAGGAACATCTCCAAGCGGTGTGGGTTTCTTTCTCTTGGGAGCTAGAGAATTGTGAGCAGGATGCCCATAGGGTTCGTGTTGAAGCAGTAGAACGAGATATCCACCGACGTGAGGGAAATAGGGAACGGAAACAGAACCAACACGCTCGTGAAAAGGCTATGAAGAAGGCCACTACGAATGACCCATCTGACATTGCTCCTTCCTTGCCAATGATGGACCTTGCAGAAGTGTCTTGCCCATACCGCAAGATTTGAAGAGATGCGAGGGCATGTGAAGGACGCAAATGGAAGCATGAAGAAACTCTTGTGGTTCGCGTCAACTGGCAAAACCCCTTGTTATGGGCTACTATTGCTGAAGCTGCTGTTCGAGTAGGGATTGGCATGTCTCCCATAGAGATTGTGCGGGATCTTCAGCAGAGGGACTAAACACGATTCCGGACATTGACTCTGCAGGTAGTTGGAACGTGGATTGACCGCTGTCTTCTTAGATAGATGATCTATAGATAAACACCTATAAACACAAATATCTCCACGGTCAGCGATTCAGACAAATACCAATGACTGATAACATGGTTGTTCGTGGGTGGCTGTTTACACTTCTCCAAGCTACATTCAGACAACAGTACTTCTGTGAGGTCAGCAACAAATGCAATCACTCCAACAGTATGGCAGTGATCAAAGAAAAAAAAAGAGAAAATCAGCCCAACAGTATGATGCTGATAAAAAAAATAGAATGATAAGAGAAACCCTTCCTTCTGTAATAATGCTTTTTGTAATAAACTTTCTACAGAAAGTCATGCGAAGTTACAACAATCACCCCCTCAGCACAAACAGGTAGAATTAAAGGTCAGGACTAATCAATGTTCAGTAGAACTCTTAGCTCACTATTGAACCTGCTGCCAAGGAACTCACGATGAGTATTAAACAGAATCAGGAATGGACGTCCTTGGCTTTCAGTACCAAGTCCCCTATTCAATAACTAAAGTCTAGCAGACAAGGAAGACCCTGGCTCAGTATCGCTACTCAGATGAGTGAGGTCAAGCATCACTATCAACTCCTGAAGTCTTCCCACTAAGCCTTTGCCTAGATGGACGTAAAGACAACATGAAGATCCTGGAACAAATTCAGAACAATAACACTAATACGCGAATGAATTGAAGAGAAAAAGAGACAAATGAAAAAAAAAAACAGAAGAAAAAAAAGAAAGAGAGGTTCACCAGCAGAAAATCAAAAAAACTATCTGGCTCACTGTTGAGCACAGTGAGCTCAAAATATTTCACAGTTTCGCTGACAATGAGCTAAAAGTATTGCTTGCTGTTGCTTACAATGACCTCTCAGCTAGCTGTTTTAACAGCTCTTGCCACTGTGTTTTGGCACTTATCACACTTCACGCTCAATTTATCTTTCAAAAGTGGGGGCCTTATTTTTTTTATTATGAGCAAAATTTGGGGTCTTATATAGACAAATATGGTGGCTGTGCTACTATTTCCCACATTCTATAGGAGAAATGGGCTTATTCAGTCAGTACCAGTAACTAGTTACATGAGTCATTTGTATCATGATTGTGTCATCAGTCCTTAGTCACTTCAAGATATAGCTTTGTCATAATTTGTGTTAGGTCTTAGGTCACCTGACTGTCGGGGTTATATCATATGTGACTAAAAATTATGTAATAAGTTGATTATATCTTGCAAAAGACGTATTCAAGATTTATTGGTCAGTTGGTGCCTTGTTCTGATGTTACATTGTATCCGTAGAAATGATGCGAGCCATGTATTTAGGGTTTTAAAGGAGTTTCCATAGGGTAAGTCATGCGAGGATTGTTTTTCATAGTTGCCTGACATGCATGGGATTTATTCTGAGTCATCATTGAGGGTGACTAATCAAGATTTATCGCAAAATTAAATGTACAAAAATATTCAGCCTATCTTAGTCCTAGTGAATTGGAATATTGTCTGAACTGCCTTGTCACTTCAGAATAGAGAGAAATTGTTTCATAATGGTTCTTTGGTAATTAGGCTCATGAGAAAGCATTAGTCATTCATGCATCAAACCAATTTGGTGCAGGTCACTGCTCGGGTGACAAAGCTGTTTGGAGCACAGCAACTCTTGCTCGCATTCAATGATGCAGCCTACCCATGTACCAAAACACACGGAAACACATTCTATCCTCTTATCCCAATGTAGTCAAATTGATCATGAATGACCTTCAGTCTCTCCGTCAAGTTGGTGTTGCACTGGACACTCTCCGCTGCCATGGTATCATCCTTGCACGCCTGCAATGCTCCATTCCTGAAATTTTTGAGCCTGTTGCCAAGGATGGTTCTTGCTTCCGCTGTACTGAGAATTGGGTGAAGGAGTTTCTTTATGAACACCTCAGTTGGAGCTTCCGCAGGGCAACACGTGCCACACAAAAAACACCACCCAATGTTGATCAGATTCTCCTCAACCAGTTCCTCCATCTGTCACTCCCAATTCATAACTGCGCAATCTTCGATGCTGTGTTCACTGTCAATATTGACCAAACAAATATTGTCTATCAACCATCAAACACCTCGACTTTCGAAACAACTGGCTCAAAGCAAGTCTCTGTGATTGGGCAGGAAGAAAAATGAGCTTTTACCATCGTCAATGGAATATTGGCCAGAGGTCACACCCTCCCCTTGCAATTGATCTATGAGGAGAAAACTTCTCGCTCCCTTCCTTCAAAGTCAACTCTGCAATATAAGGAAGCAATGGAACTCAAGTTCAAAATCTCGTACTCAAGCACGCACACCTACTGGTCAACATTTCCCCTCATGTGCGAGTATGTTAATGACATTCTGGTGCCATACTGGGAAGAGCAGAAAGTGTTACTTGATGCACCAGCTGACCAGGAGTGTGTTTTGCACCTCGATGTGTGGAGTGTGCACAGATCAATTCAATTTTGCATGTGGTTGGATATGACCTACCCTTGGATCAAATACCACTTCGTCCCCATGGGCTGCACTGGTGTTGGTCAGCCATGTGATGTTGGTATTCAACGTCCGTTCAAACTCGCTGTCAAACAGATGAAGCATGCTGATATAGTCAATGAGTCTCTCGCTCGACTCACCCATGACAGTTCTGCATCACTCATCCGACTTGACACGACAATTGGCACCCTTCGTGATCGGTCATTGCAGTGGGTTGTAAATGGGTATCATGCTATAAACAAGCCTGAGCTCGTAAAGCAGGTTTGTTTCTCATTTACTTGCATTGTTGAATCTTGATGCACAGAGCTAAATCCTATTTCAAAGGCATTCTTCATGTGTAAGGCTGGGGAGAAGTTCAATCTCTCATTTGCAAGTCTCACAAGTTGGGAGGCATTGCAATATTTACGTGATGTTCAGAAGAATGATCCAGCTAGATGGGCGAGGATTGCTACTGCTCAGTACAAGACTGATGGTGTCAAATGGGCAACAAATTCTGAGTCAGAGGACGAGGCTAGTACTAATGCTATTGGAGTTGAATCCCTGTTCGATGATGCCGGTGAGCATGATCTTGATGCCAGTGATGTGCCAATGGATGCACTTCTTGACCATATGGCTTCTGAGGGTGAACAGGTCTGTTCTGACTACCATATCAATGCAGATGGTGGACTTTCGTGTGCAAACCACTCTGAAGTCTATGATGTGGGTGACATTGCTGCTGAAGATGTGGAAGGTGGCTCGAACAGTGTTCCGGAGGTTGTTTATGGGTGTGGAAAGCATAGACGCATCACAAATTCGATGTATAACGATTTTTGGTCCCATTAGTGCACAACCTATGTTTTTTCCTATGTTTTTTTCCGAATGTCACAAATTAGCTTCGTCCCACCAAAATTCATGTGACGGTCACACCAAATAGATTTGATTCATCAAGGGCTGTGACCTGTGACAAAGCTAGTGTCGTAGCTCTACAGTAGTGCCTGAATGTCTCTTTGACATTGCACACTCAATAGTTCAGTGTAAAGCTGACTGTGTGTGAACAAATCTGTATGATGGCCCAGCACAGACAGGAAAGTCATGTGAATTGGTTCCACAGGATCAAATGTTTCATCCTTACATATTGTAGATGTACTTTTATGTGGTGTGATAGATTATACTTTGAGTTTTTTTTAAAAAGCTGCTCATAAATGTATTTATAAATTATCCAAAATGTACAATTTATTAGGATGCAGCCTGAAGCCAGGAAGTCAAAAGAGGGCACAGCCCTCCTTGGCTTCCTGTGACAAAGGAACAATGCTCATCAGGGGCCTTCTGAATTATTGGGATGAAGCTGAGGCCAGGGAGCTTAAAAAGAGCACGAAGTGCTCTTTTTTTGCGACCTGTGCTGAAGGCAGAACAGGTGTGTGCTAGTCCAGTACTAGTTAGACCACTGGAGATTGGGTAAACATCACATAACGAACATGTGGACTTTCTGATCAAACGTTAACGTTTGAACGTATTTCAAATTACTAAGCAGTCTAGCGCACGGGTCAGGTAACCCTGTATACATCACGTACTACAGACGATATATATAGGGGTAACCGATTTGCAATCGTCGCGGTGCTGCTTCATGACAGGGTGCCGTTGACCAGGTTCTATACGATGTGTGTTGGCCCGCACTTCTGTACATACGCTTATTTAAGGGTGCCATACCATATTCTTCCACATGTACATGTTGATTAGGCACGAGATCCAAATGACAGCTATTTCTAAATCGATGAACTCAGATTCTTTAAAGTGTAATGTCAACAAAGGCGCCGCGGCAGCACAGCTTCGGGATCGAGCGTCATAATGTCCACCATCATGATGGTAGGGAATCGTTGACACATGACAGAGCCCGTCAATCATTAATCGATAATGGTCACAATGTCTGCCAACATTGAAATTGGCCATGTCACTCAGTCACTCTAGTTGTCGTATTGTCAATGGCGCGCTTTGCCTTTCGGGGCTCACAGGGCCCGTCATTAAAAAGCCCTCGCAAGCTGGTCATCCTCGTCTATTGCTCTCAATGATACAGTGAGGAGCATAACGTCGCATTTAAGACTCAAACACCACAGTCATCAGTACCTTGAAGCTCGTGTGGACTCGGAGCTAAGAGCGTACCCCGGACGGTTTTCTACAAGAGTCACAGTGTGTATCAGGACGCGAGGGATACCGATGTTGTTGCTACAGACCATCGGAAAGAATTTGGAGAGGCGCGGTTTGTTTGACGGTGTTGAACTAGAATGTCAGGGCTACGGCTGGTTGGAACTTGGAAGTGTAGCATCACTGGGCTGCCGAGTGCTGTGTGGTCACCAAGCGGACTGAACTAGTGGCTTGTGAGGCCTGCTAGTCATCGTGCCAGCGAGCCCTTGTAAGTGACGTAGAGTAGTTGGATTTAAAAATATGTGACATACCAATCAGGGAAGGAGGGCAGGGAGTTGCGGGGCAGTTGTGTGTTTCGCTCTAAAACGGGCGTAGCTATTTTGACGCGGTCCTGCCGCGCCTGAGCATCAGTAAACCGGTGAGTTCTTGCTGGGGATTATGCTGATTATGGTGCTTTTACATGGTCATATATTGCTTTATATCACTTTATATTACAATGTGACGAAAACCTTTCCTATATATTACGATATATAACGATATATGACGATATCTTCTTCTCACAGGTTCTCTGATGGACGCGGTCGTGACGCGGCCGTGACGCGGCGTGACGCGCATGTGACGCGGCACTGACGAGCCTTGACGCGGCACTAACGATCCTTGACGCGACCACTGACGCGCCATTCCTATATTCTATATTCAACTTCCAGATCAAGTTGGATGAGTTCACGACCACTCTTTTGTTATTTTATTTGCCTCAGAGCCATGTACAACTAGGTATACATAAGCCAATGACTATTTTCTTTTCCTCCCTCTCTGGACCCTTCGAGCCTGTGGAGCACATCGACGTTTAACGGGCGGACATTCTTCGGCCGGCAGACAAGGAACTACAGCTTCGGATAGCTCGTCTGCAGACTCCAAAGATGTAGCATCAGAGTTATCACTGAATAAGGGGCCGCGCTGTCAATCACATAAGTTAGATATCTATCGAATGGAGCAGGTAATGTCTTCCTCACTTCAAGTTCACTCTCGCTATAATCTCTTGCAGAAACCCATTCATCAGGAATTCCAAGATACAATTTCCATCGCCTGTGATGTTGGCCAGCATCCAAACCCCACTGCTGGTTGCCTGCAGGTCCTGCTTCTTCGGAATCCTCGAACATCCTTCCTTCTAGTGCGGTCAGACACTCGAGGTCGACATCAGCCACGAAGCTATTGGTAGGATAGCTTATCATGAGATCAGCCCAAGCCATCTTCAACAGCATGCTATCGTTCCATTCTTCGTTTCGAGCTTCGATGCGTTTTTCAAAATCACTGGCCTTTCGGTGAGCAACCACGAGAGTGAAAGCATGCACCAAAGGCAGTTCTATTTGTCAAATCTGAGTTCACAAGGAGAATATGTCGGATGACGCACCTGAACGGTCATAGCAGGGTATGAGGTCCCCAAAACTCAGCAGCGGACCCGGCCGATCTGGATAATTTTGATTCTCTGTCTCGTTGGGATAGAAAAAGTTGAATATATGTTTGATTAATTGCTAAAAGATGGTTATAACAAGTTTACTCCGTATTTTAAAGAACTCACAAAGGCCATGATACGATTTACAAAAGCGCGATAATAACGGTTGTTTCTCGAGCCCAGAGGAGACAACGAAAGAATGCTTAGTAAAATAAATTTATTACTGCCTATGGACAATTACAGTGTACGACGTCTAATTCTGTCAGGATGAAAAGGAACACTGTTAGAATATCAATTATTATGACAGATGTAAAGTAAAATGTACCTAAGTTATACGGACAGTGTGACAGTTGAGGAGGTGAGGTTTGACGCGGCATGTGCTACTTGTGACGCGGCATGAATGAAGTTTGACGCGGCGTGACGCGCGGGTGACGCGGCAGTGACAAGGTTTGACGCGGCGTGACGCGCCTGTGACGCGGCACAACTTGTTGACGCGGCACTGACGCGGTATGTGCTATGGTTGACGCGGCACTGTAGTAGGTCTCGACGCGGCATAGAGTGTGGATGTTGATATTAGTACAGAGACTGCGAAGATATTTGGGAGAACTTGTCGTGGTGTGAGTAGTGCTTGACGCAGCCTAAACGAGGCTTCTGACATGCCATGGTTAGGGCTCGACGTGTTGGTGTAGGGTATAGAGAGTGGATCAAACTTGGCAGGGTGAGGTCGAAGCTTGACACAGTGAGACAACATTTGACACTGCATCTGAAAACCAACATAGATGAACGAATTAGAGGTAATGCAACAATATAGGACTGACGGCAAGATGCATACTAGTAGTATGAACGCAGAGGACAAGCACTGTAAATTTGGTGAGAGGTGAATACAGCACTATAGAGCCTGTACGCAGGCAGACACTCATATGTTGATCATTAACGATGATTCAAAGTGTTTGGAATGCGATATGAAGTTGTGTAAACATGATTTGTACATGAGAATTTGAGCTAGTTCGGCAACTCGATATTTTCGATATTTTTCAATATTTGCTTTGGCATGTTTGCGAAAATGTTCACCGGCATCGTTCCGAGATGT